CCTACCCTAAGCTCTCAATCAAACAAGAACAGAACATAAGGCCAAATCAAACATTCTCAGGCTATAAGATCTTAATTATCTATGGCCGTGATGCATACACTTAAGCAACCACAGTGATGATGTCAATTTCATATAAGGAAACCCTAGGCTATTAGGCATCATACCATCAGGCAATTCTATCATGCAATTCCTGAAGATCCCTAGCCTAGCACTAGCATGCTGTTATAACATATCACATAATCAAATAACTGTATGGTATTTTGGGGCTACTTACTGGCTCCGGCTGATCATACATCCTGCATCCTCATTTACTTATTTTGAAAATCATTTTAGAAAACATTTTGAAAACCTTTCCTTGATTTGAGACTGAATTCACACGCATGTTCCTCCAATTCACTCAAACCAAGGCTCTAATACCAACTTGTAACACCCATAAAATTCAAGCCAATTTAAAACTTTTAAAACATTTCCAAAACCATTAACCATTACAAAACTTGTTTTCAAAATGTAACATATCAGAGTATCCCAGAAACAAAGTCATCAAAAGTGAGGAGCTGTACGATCACGCCTTTGCCTTGCCACGATCCCCTGATGCACCTGAAACAATAAACTGAAACTGTAAGCCCGAAAGCTTAGTGAATTCCCCCAAAATACCCGTACACATACAACCATACACATACAGCAATGAACAGCATACTATGGGTCCAATCAACCGTCAGGTTGGAATACCCTAGGCCCTCAACCATCGGGTTGGAATGCCAACATACTACGAGTCCAATCATCCTCGGGATGGAATACTCTCGGCCCACAACCATCGGGTTGGAATGCCCACACACCTATACATACAATAACTACTATGGGTCCAATCATCCCTCGGGATGGAATACCCCAGGCCCTCAACCATCAGGTTGGAATGCCCACCTACTATGAGTCCAATCATCCTACCGGGATGGAATACTCCTGGCCCTCAACCATCAGGTTGGAATGCCCACCTACTATGAGTCCAATCATCCTACCGGGATGGAATACTCCTGGCCCACAACCATCGGGTTGGAATGCCCACATACTAGCAAACATGTGCACCTATCAAATAACCATATAACAGTCTACAAGACAACATACTAGGACCCTATCATCCTACCGGGATGGAATACCCTCTACTACTGCTCAACACGTGCACATATAACAGGTAATCTCCTACCAGCATACAGACAGTCAGACCAACTACAGGTCATTAAGCATAGCCACATCCAATCTACCAGAATATCGATCTAACAGAGCATACCATCATATAGCCATCCTATCTACCAGGATGCCAACTAACATATCACAACAGTAACTATCTCAAATAACAAATCAAAGGGCCGGCCTTGGTGCCTTAGACCCTTGGGTATAGTGAGGACAACTCACCTTGCAACTGCCGAACAGAACCACGAAAACACAATCCCGAAGCACTGCCCCAAACTCCAACACCTATAGCCATCAATGATCCATTGACATAAATATTCAAATTACCATAATACCCCTGAAGGTCAAACTGGTCAAAGTCAAAGTCCTGTCCAAAGTCAACCTTCATGATTGACCCTACTCGCCGAGTCAACCTGCTGACTCGCCGAGTTCCTAAACTCAGAAAACTCTCATATCACGACTCGACTCGCCGAGCCACCCCATGACTCGTCGAGTTCAACAATCTGTGAGTCCTATCATGTCCAACTCACTAAGTCACCACTCAACTCGCTGATCTGAGTCTTAACCAGAAGAGGTTGGGGTTTTGTGTTCTGACTCGCCGAGTCCACGGCAATCTTCAACAGACTCGTCGAGTTGTTCCTCCAACTCGTCGAGTCCATGCCTATCTTCAACAGACTCACCGAGTCCAAGAACAGACTCGCCGAGTCTCTTCAGTCCTTTATTCATACAGAGGCTTTTCGAGTCATGCATGGGCTCCAAACTGTAGATCCACTCTTCTAGGGCATGATTCTCACGTAAAGTTGCAAACTTTACGTGGAAACAAAGAGCTATAGGCCCAAATCAATCTAGGGCTAAGGTTTAAGACAAAGATGCTTCACCAACAAGCCAAGGACTGATACTTTGTGAGTTTCTGGACCAAGACAAGTCTAGATCTGAAGTAGCAACCTCAGATCTAGACCCCTAACCCGAAATAGATCCTTAACATGCCAAATGGCCCCAAATCTCATTCTTGAATAGATATAAATGCAATAGAGTCAAGGTAACAGCTTGTTACCTCCAAAATGTGCCCAAGCTGAAGTAGATTCTGGATCTACACCAATCCCTTGATGTTAGCCTCTTGATCTTCAAGCTCCCTTCTCAAAATTCCTCCTCCAAAGCTCAAATCTCTTTAACAATGGAAGCTCACGCGATTTTAGGGTTTACTGACTCTCAAGGGCAATAAGGAGGCTGAAGGGAGGACATATGGTCCTTTAAATAGGGTGCAACCCTTAAGATTAGGGTTTTCTCTTTTCAGCACCAACTCGTCGAGTCTAGCTGCCAACTCGGCGAGTTTGTCACTTAACTCGCGACCAGAACCCGCTCCGACTCGACGAGTAAGCATACCTACTCGTCGAGTACCTTCTTCAATTTACACTTAAGTCCTTCAATCATACTTCTAAATTTTGGGATGTTACAGTATCGATGCCAAATCAGACAAAAATGGATGAGGTGGATGTCAAATCATAAAAAATAAATAAATAAAAGATCATTGTTGGAGATCTGGTAGGCATTCCCTTAGCCACATCGACACTGAATATTGATTTTGCCTCCACCGTGTGTATATTTCCTATCGTTATCTTTCCTTGTAGTTGTAGGGTTCATTCCCCATTATTCAACTCCACCGCATCTTCAAACGACTCCACCATCTGTAGTTTTTCGGTGAAAAGACAAACAATGCTCCACATGTACAAGCTTAAAGAGCATGTCAACAATTTTATTCATGAGTTTGAGATCTAAAATGAAGAGGTTTTATGAGATTGAGATCTAGTGACAAGTTGCAAGAACAAGGTCAACAATTTTAGGTTTGACTCTTCACTGATTATTTATAGGTTATTTGGATTTCACGAATACCGATTTTAAACCACATTTACAAGTTATTCGGTGTTCAGATTTGAAGATCTTGAAAAAAAACAAAAAGGAGTATTATAAGTTCATAGATGCGGTATGGGGTTTTTATTATTTCGAGATATAGGGTTTTCGTGGATGCAAATCCATTGAAGATGAAGGTTTGAAGACAAAGGTTAAGCCACAGATTTGGTGTTTGATTAAAAAAAGGGTGGTGGTGGTGGTCAATGATGGTTGATGGTGGTTAATGGTTATGATTTTTGAAATGACAAGGCAACCATGTGCTAACTGGAAAACCACACCACTACATCCATTACCATCTTCAGCCTTAACAAACGTCACCTCTAGTACCACAATGAAAAACCCACCTCCTGCATCTCCATATACTTGTGATTAACAACCTGCAACCTGATTTCAGAAGGAGGAGCTGTGATTTGCGGTTATTTTTTATCTGTTTTTGAGAAAGGATTAAAGGAAGAGACTGCAATCAAAATTGAATATGATAGGTGTCACTTGTTTGTGGAGAGGAAAGAAACAGGGTGGACTTGCTCGAACAAGGTCCACATATTACCTATTCACCCGGTATCAGGTTACATAAGGGCATTTTAAAACTGTCAAATATGACTTCATTCCCTTAATGTACAAAAAAATTAATTGAGTGACCTTTTAAAACAAACTTGATAAATTTGTTGGGCTGATATATGATTTTTTATGCCCTTTGAAACAACCGGTTATGAAAACCTTTTAGTTTTATGCCCTTTGAAACAACCGGTTATGAAAACCCTCTTCTAGATTGTGATTTCTTTACTAACTAACTTGATTTTGTCGCCATTTTTAGTTTTAACCTTTACATATTTTTGGCTAAGCAGTTATCGCGGTCAAAAATATAATAGCGGCCACCGGCCGCTATTTGAAATCGCGGTTTTCGCGGCGGTATAGCGGTGATATAGCGTTTTTTTATATTATTTAGAGTTTATATATATTAGAGTATTAATGAGTAAATCATACTTTAAAGCTCAACCCAATCCAGTTAATTAGTTAATCAGTAAATCATAATTCACATATCATATTTGGTTAATCATACTTCATATATCATAATTAGTTAATAATACTTCACAGATCGGTTACCAATGCCCCAGTTAATCATATTTTAACACAATTCACAAGAAAACATATGTTAAATATCTTCGTTTGGTTTATTAAGTGTCATGTCATATATTAATAGAAAAAATTAACTTTTTTATTGTTGTAATCTAAGCTGTTATCACCGTAACAAATAAAATAACAGTCATGGACAATGATTTTGAATAGCAATTCTCGCGATGTAATAGTGATGGTAAAGGAGCATTTAACCTATTCGAATAAGAATTTGGATAAGATGTGCCCAACAAAAATATTCAAACTAATGTATATCATAAAAGAGTAAATTACACAAATGGTCCTTATGGTTTGGGATAATTTACGCGTTTGGTCCTTAACTTTTTTTCTTAACTCCGATCATCCCTATAATTTTATTTTATTGCGAAGTTGGTCCTTAGTAGATCTGAATTAACTAATATACCCTTTCTTATTAATTTTTCCTTTTTATTATTGGTATTAATATTTTAGTAATATTTTAAGATAAATGTCCACGACCATATTCATGACCGTTCCCACTCCTTTCTATGTTACATATCACACTTCAAAGGCTCGGACACTACCTCCGACAACACCACCGATCGTCCCTTTCTGCCAGATCAAATGAAACCAAAACCATAATAGATCTGAAATTAAAATAAAAACCAAACAAAATCCCAAAGAACAATAATAACTACAGGTACTCCAATCTCTTTTTAAATTGATCCGAATGCAGTGTCGATGTTCTTCCGGTGAAATTAAAATCAAAACCATATGAAGATTGAGGAGAACGATTGATAAAGGCAGTGTCGATGATCTTCCGGTGAGCTTCGTCTTTTCCGACAAGCCTGGTTTTTCTCCGACGAGTTCTCGCTCTTGGTCTAAGTGTTGTGGTGATCGGTGACTCGTGTAATCTTGAAGGTGGTGTTGTGGTGATCAGCAAGAAGAGTTAGTAGAAAGGAGCGGAGGCGGTGATATTGTGGTATCCAACGTTGGAGACGTAGGTGGGTTGGTTTGGCATCAAAATTCGACTACTTGGATGAAGGGTGTGAGTATAGAGTTAGTATGGTATCTGATGTTGGAGATGTGGCGTGGGGAACGATGGTTCAGGGAGGGCGACGATGGTTTAGTAGAGAAGGGTGGCAATCTAGTTCTTATTGATTTAGGATTTAGTTTGAGAGAGAGAGAGGGGGGGGGGGGGGGGGGGGGAGAGAGAGAGAGAGAGAGAGAGAGAGAGAGAGATGTTGACTATGGGTGGGGTAGAGGGGGTCTTTGTGGTTTATTTTTTTTTTCTTTTTAAATTTAAAATGATAAATAATAAAAGAAAATTAAAAAGGTAATATATAAGGGTATAATAGTCATTTTACTTTTGATAGAGACTCAAAACGCAACATATTAAAACCAAAAGGATGGTCCGAGTTAAAAGAAAAAGTTAGGAACCAAACACGGAAATTAACCTAAGCCATAAGGACGATTCGTGTAATTTATCATAAAATTGTTCTTTCAAATCACAATTGATGACCACTATTTATTTGGAACCGCAATACCTGCTTAGATTAGGTCACTAATAAAATACTTAAATTTCTTTTATTAGCATATGGTATGACATTTAATTAATCAAACAAAGTATTTAACTCATTCTAATAATAATTTGTTCGTATGGTGTGGATATCACATATATATGATTTTTTTATTTAATTTTTGTTTCAAAATTCTAAATATTATATATATATATATATATATATATATATATATATATATATATATATATTATTAAAAGAGAACCATTAATTCATCAATGAAGTAATCAGGGCTTTTGATTGTATTTCAATCCTTTGTTTTTCACCCTTAGATCAAATTGCTGACATCATTTTCCCAAATAGAATTCAAACACAATTACATTTAATTATAGAATCTTTAATAATTATAGAATATTTAAATTCAACAATTATGTTATCAATTAAAGCATATTATTCTATTAATATACCAGATATCGGTTTCTCTAATTAATATTGTTTCTAATTTAACTTGCTTATTTATAACTTTTGGCTTCAAAATTCAAATCCGTTTAGTTTTTTTTTTAAAACTAATTAAATAAGCATATCAATAATTCAGTTATTAACATATAAAATCTAATCTAATCCCATTAAATCAACAAAATATTTGAGAGTTAAAATTAAAATCAATATTATTCATAATTTATCTCACAATATATCCTACATAAAATGAATCAGTTTGAGATATTGGTTTGAATTTTAAAACTCATTAAATAAGCAATTCAATTAATTTGAAAGTTTGAATCAATATAACTGATATTTTAATTTTTTTTTCCAAATGAATAGCCGAAAATCTCAAAGATAATATCTTAGGATCCTAATTTTTTGGAAGATAATGATTTTTTTATTCAAAAACACCTTATATATACGATTACATTGAAGTTGTTATTCTTAGTTTTTTGGATTGAGTCATACGATTTACAGTGTTCTTCTTCAACGATCTTCTTCTCCAATTCTTTTTCCAGGTTCTTTTTTTACTTTGTTCTCCTTCTTCTTCTCTAATTTCTTGCATTTACTTTGTTCTTATTACCTGTTATTATTGTATTCCTGTTGAGAGGTTATGAAAAATATTAATCAATCTACTTTAAGCATATTAGTTTCATTCATTTACAAAAACAAAATTATATCATTTATATCAATTTTTTAATGTGTTGACCTATGTTTGTTTGTGAGTCTGCGTATAATTAACGTTATATCGTCTATTTGCAACATTTCTGAAACTTGTGTAATCAAATGTAATCATGAATCAAATACAACAGTATATATCAATGAATGGAACTGGTATATTTCTATACACCACATAAAAAAAATACTCATCTACATTGAATACTATTTGCATGATGAATGAGGGTAGAACAACATCTATGTATACGTTCTCTTTACCTGAAATACCCCTACCCCTGCCACTGTTGCCCCCTTCTACTGCTTGATATGTTTTCTGATGAGCATCAGAAAAAACTATTTATACTTACTTTATTGTCAGGTTTGCATTATGAGGTTTTTTAAAAGTATATAACATCATTCATATTTGGATGATAGGAAATTTATTTTATTTTTATAATTTGATTTCTATTACATACAAAAGACTTTCTACATTATATGTTTTAGACTAAATTACATTCGGCGTCCTTGAGTTATGTCAAAAGTTAAAAATTTCGTCCCTAAAACTATATTTTCACTCTGACCCTATGATTTTGAATTGTTCCTGTTTTCCCTATTTTACCCGGTCCATATTACTTGGTTGAGTCACATGTGTTTAACAATGATTACTTTTTTCACAAACAGAAACATGGCTAAAAGCAACATTACATTCATAGACCAACTTGATGCTTCAAAAAGTCAATTTACCATGAGAGTAAGAATAATCTGTCTCATGAAACATCTTGCTTATGGATCTTCAACAAAGACTTAAAAAATTGATATGATTCTCATTGATGAACAAGTAATAACAATTTTTTTATTTATGAATTTTCTTACAAGTTCATTCTAACCACATATAACAATATATAAACTGGTTTTTTGTGCATTTAGGGAAGGAAGGTCGAGGCAGAGGTTACTAATAGATGGGTTGAAAGATTTAAAAGTTTGCATCATGAGGATGGTTGTTACTACATCTAAAATCCACAACTTGGTCTTAATAAAAACAAAAATAGTTTTGTTGATAATGAAAACAAAATCAATATTTATATCACAACCAAAGTTACACCATTCAATAAGTGGACTGGATCACTTTATGGATTCTCTTTTGCAAACTTCAACACCATTTTGGATGGTGCCTTTGTTGAGAACACACATGTTGGTTAGTTTATATGTTACAATCTAACGATTTATACAACGATATTATGTTATTTACCATCACTCACCATACCGAAAATTTTATACTAATCTTCCATTTTTTTTAACTTATATAATATATGTTATTGGAGATGTTGTGAGATGCTTCTCAATGGAACCCTTGTGAACAAGAAAAATAAATTATCAAAGAGAGTCAATTTGAGCTTGGAAGATCTAGAGTATGTTTACTTTTCAAAATTTTGTGTCAAATTTTACTTTATAATGTCATTTTATATTGTTTATTTATTTATTTTTTTGGTTATAGAAGCAAACAAATAAATGTAACACTCTGGGATGGGTATGCACAACAGTTTGCTAACTATTTGGAAAATAACAAACAAACTCCTATGGTAGTTGTTATTCAATGCAGAAAAATATCTTATTATAGAGGTTTGTTCGTTACTCTGATTCATAACTTACAACTTAAAAAAATTTCAAAATATTATTCTTCCTTTTACTATAAATGAATATACATTTATACTAACTTCATTATGCATCGTTTCAGAACGGTTCTCCGTCACAAATTGCTTCACCACGACTAGGATCTTTATCAATGATCATATTTTAAAGCAACAAAAATAACAACTTTTTTATTGTTAAGATTTCTTGCCAAAGCCAGTCCAGAAAGCACATATGCTAATTGTAGCAACGCTTTGTCCTCCATCCTCTACTTTGCAAATGACGATTTCCTTCATAAGTTCGATTTTCATGTTATTGATGATCTCCAACAAGTAGATGAGGTTTATATACTTAACTTCCATTTATGAAATATACATTATGTTAAATAGTTTTTGGATTATTTTTACCCTCATATTTCATTTTACTTTTTTTATTATATAATTTAAATTTATATCAATATTTATCATAAAAAAATTATTGATTGTTGTCGGTACGATTAAGCGTGTGTGTACTCTATAGTTCTTTCATGTCACAACTATAGGACAGAAAGAGGTGTTAGTGACCATTAAAGATGAAAATGTAAGATATAATTTAAGAATATTATATAAAGTGTAAATTGTAGATTTGTGATATTTATTTCTATGAAAAATATGTTGTTTGATTGCTAGGTTACATATTTGGGTTTTTTTTGGTAATTTGATTTTGACAAGTTTGATCTAAATTTGATAATTGAAGCATGTATGAAAGACATGTGCTAACGATTTTGAATTTATAATGCCCTCCAGAAACCAACTGTAGCCTCACATACCTCTCCCTCATATCTCAGTAGTTCTTAGCATTTCCACAATTTCAGCTACAAGAAGTCATGAATGCACTTCTTGAATCAATCCACTAAACTGAATTTCATTTGTTAGTTGGATGTGCTGACCAAAATGAAAGATTTGTGAAAGTTCATTATAATTTATTAATGTTAACCTTTGGAAAATTATGAAACTAATATTATTTTTTGTTCATAACATGTTTTTTTTGTAATAATTTCTTTAATCGGAAGATATGTATATGTGATTGTGCGTAGCCTGAAAAATCATATTTTAATTCTTATAAAGAAAAAATACTTTAGAAATTGACCAAATTACATGTCTGAATTTGATGTTTATGGTTATGGCAATGCACTTTAACTGTAATGTTTATCGAATTTCTTTGCAGAATTTAAGGTTGCTGGTACATATAACAACTTATTGTTGCTTTTGGTTTTATAGGGCCAATATGAAAAGAGCCATGCGAGCCTCCATGGGGTTGGTACACCGAACAGAGTCAATTCATAAAGCTACTACACAACATGTTTTAATCAAGGAGTCACATCATGTCGTGATAAAATAAAGATCATGTGGATCATTTATGTTAAAAATTACTGAATTAAAAAACCAAATTGCTCTAATATAAATATTTAATATTTTTATTTAACAAGTTTGGTTCAAAACTCTAAAAATGAATCTGACTAACATTTTTTATTAAAATTTCACCTAAGACAATGTCACTTATTAATGTGATATGTATTTAATTTATGTTTCCCGCGTTTAACGCGGGTCATAATCTAGTATATATTAAAAACTAACACGCCTGTAAACAGTAAATTTGTATAGTTTCAGACTTTGACCACATCAATTTGTACATTATTACTGTTTCGTCCTTCTACTTTTGGAACATGCCCTGCTACGTTTACATCATCTGGTAATACAAAAAACCAACGACATTGTAAATTCCTCTTATTGTCTTCGAGTCTCCCAACGACTTCTCATGAACATCGTAATATCCTAATCCACAAAACCATCGACATCAATTTGTACAATCCTCCACCCTTTTCTTCTTCATTCTTTTCCGACTGTCTTCGTTTAGGTTTAGCGACGACTTCTCATCCAAGAATATATAGAAATTCGATTTCTCTCACCAAAAACCTCCTGCACTCTGTTGCCGCCATCGAATGCTTGTAAACAAGCGCCTGCACCCTGTTGTGTTAGGAATTTCGGTATGTTGTTGGTTGTTTCAATTTTCTAATGATTTTCATTCAATTGCACTTCTTTCTAATCCTATCCTGTTTTTGAGCGATGTCTCCAACTTTTTGGGTTTGAGGATCAACAAATTGCCGTCCAAGAAATAAGGATTTCGCATTTCTGTCGCCAACCACCTATGCGCTCAATTTCCGCCACCAATAAACTGTGCTCTATTATTGTTTGAAATATCGGTATGTCATATATTGTCTCTGATTGATTTTGATTTTCTCTATAATTGCTTTTCGTTCTGTTTTTGTCCATTTTCATCAATTAGGTTTAACATGCATCTCTTTCTCTCTCTTAATTGCAATCTCTTTCTCTGTTAGTTTGATTGCAAACTCTTTCAAACCCATTCCCCTCATCCCCAATATTACTTTGTTAAATCTTACATAGTAATCAGAACATTATGCATTTCAGAAACTTCATGATGCCATATCTGATGAAAAAGTGGAATGACCATATGACAATTGATGACCCAAACAATGAATTTGTATCATTCAACCCTTTTTTAATATTTTACCTTTAACCATCACAGATTCTTACTACTTACCCTTGGACATATAATTTTTTGCAAGTTTTTTCATCCAAAGCTCTTCCTCCTGTAAACAGTTAAAAAAAACTTCCCAAAATGCCCCTGGATACCTAGGAATATGAATCGAATATGAAAGAACAAAAACTCAATGAAAATTTTGACTCGGTAAAGACAAGCATAGACATGAATTGATACATACATGCATTTGATGCCATCCACCATAGCAACTGTAGAAAAAAGATTAAAAATATTTTTTTGATATAGCTGTCCAGAAAAAGTAATTAACCTATGTGGTTGGTCTTTCAACATCACCCACTGGTGGTGACATCTCATTAATATACTTGAGACCATATCAACATGTATCAGCACCTCCTATGTTTATTATGTTTCTTTTTTCATTTGGAAGTAATAGTTTCTAATCAAAAAACAACATATGTATATATTCCAAATCAAAACATGATTAATTCACAACTGTAAAACCAGATCAATCTACCATGACAACCACACAAAAAAAGAGGAATTACTTTGTATATAATGGTAGTTACCAATGGTTGCACGAGTAATGATGTCAGTTTGGATAAAGGTTTTAATGCATAAGAACTTTTATTTTTAGACTAAATAAACCGTCGATGAGATTAAAATACCATTTTAGGCTTACATTTCAAAAAACAAAAATCACAATATTCATCGATTAACAATAATTATATACATATATTAAAAACTAACACGCCTGTAAACAGTAAATTTGTATAGTTTCAGACTTTGACCACATCAATTTGTACAGAGGTTGTTGGCGACAGAAATGCGAATGATGGTAAAAATAAACAACAATTAACGTGACCCGTGGTTCCCCACGGGTTCGCACACTAGTTATTTTTTATAATATATAAATAAAACCAAAATAAAAGTAAAAAAACGAATATAAATAAAAGTAAAACCAATCGAGGGTGGGAAACCGAAATCAAAGAGTGAGTTTCCAAATAAAACGTGTAAAATCAAAATCTAAGAGCTAGAAGTCAGAAGCTCCCAAACGTTGCGCTCCGAACACGCCCTATAAGAAAAAAAAAGTAAAACCAATCGAGGGTGGGAAGCCGAAATCAAAAGGTGGGTTTCCAAATAAAACATGTAAAATCAAAATCTAAGAAAAAATCGATTTAAGAGATGAATAAATTTACTGGATTGATATTAAGAAGAGGATTTTGATAATGATATTTTTTAAAGGCATAAAAGGAAAATTATATATAGATATATATATATATATATATATATATATATATATATATATATATATAGATATATATATATATATATATATATATATATATATATATATATATATATATATATATATATATATATATATTAAGGGGAACAAGGAAAAAAGTATTAACTCCCTTTTAAAATACTGGAATAGGTTTTTTAGTTCACAATCCAAAATTCTGATTCTTTTTTATAAGAAAAATACTTTGAAAATAATCCATTAAAAAAAAAAATAGTTATTTTCCAAAAAAAAAAAAAAGTTATTTTATAACACAGATTTTCTTATTTTAGTTAATATCCCTTAATTTATACAATTACGGGTTACTTGCCAAATACTCGAACTCTCCGAGGTTCTAGACTGTGGGGGAGGGGTTAACTGGCCTTCCATTGGCGACCAGGTTAACGTGCAATCGATCACTCTCTGTGTTTTCATCTATTTCCCCCAATTTTGTTTGATTTTGTAGTTTAACTTTTCATGCATAATGTGATACTGATTTATCATGATCGGTATTTTTGTTCGTAATGCGTCAGGTATTTCCTCTGTTCGCCGCCGTTGGCGTCGCCGTCGGTATGTGCGGCCTGCAATTGTTTCGGAACATCAGCGGCAATCCTGAAGTCAGGTGTTTGTTTCTCTCCTTGTAGCTCTATTGCTTTATGTGTTAATTAGCCGTGTTTCTCCTTTTTGATTACGAATTTTAACAAATGCGATGTCTATGAATGGCTTATGTTTATTATTTGTACATTTTGGTGGAATCAGTGATTCCATTCCATGATCTTAAAAATTATTGGTATTTGATTTGGCTTATGTACAGATTGACGAAGGAAAAAAGAGCTGCTGGAGTGCTGGATAACTTTGATGAAGGCAAAAAGTACGCAGAGCATTCACTCAGAAAATTTGTTCGTAAAAGGAATCCGGAGATCATGCCAAAGATCAATTCCTTCTTTGCAGACCCTAAATAAATAAATAAACTTGCGGTTTATGGTGTCAAACAGGGTTAGTTGGTTTATGATTTGCCATTTTACCTTCGAAACACTGAAAACTAGAAGCATTGTGTTTTTATAATTAGTTTTCCTGTAGTTAGCGATTATTTTTTTCTTGTTTCAGTTTTTGCTCCAAATCAGTGAAAAACAATCATAATCAAAGGGTATAAATTATACTCCGTATTATATTGGTTTTAAGAATTATTTGTGCATGTAAGCTCACTTAAATTAGAGATTTTAATTACGTTTGAAAACAATGTGTTACCTCGGAGACTATTTGAATTTAGGAATGAGTTATTCACAAAATTGACTAGGAATGAGTTATTTAATCAAAACTAGATTATGACCACAACATATAGAAAATACATATAAAAGTATAAAAAGTTGGCACAATAATTAAAAAGAAAGTAACAGAAATAGAATTAGTTTTATTGGTAACATTGAAAAAAACAATGAAATGTTTGAATATCTATAACCGATAAAGGACCTCTTTATAAACAACATTTTTTGTTTTATTAGTTGGACGACCTTGTCACATATGAGGACCTTCAATACTATATCTTTTTAATTTATACTCTTCTTAGGTTCGGAAACCAATATCAGTTGTCTTTTTTCTTTCTTGTTGATGTATCAATTAATGCAATATAAATTGGTGCTACATTTAGAGCTTTTAGTGTTATTAGTCGATTTGTTAATGATCTTCCAGTAAGTTCATGTTTTTTTCAAAAAAATTACAAATTTTTATATTTTCTTCAAGTTAATTTTTTATTAATTTGTAATAATAATAATATGATTGGTGTAGAAGGGTCCTCAAACACTTGTGAGAATTACATTTGACTCATTGCAACAGGTTATTTAAAAAAAAATTAACCTTTCAAAAAGAATTATTCCTTCAAGCTCTTTTGCATTTTTTATTGCAGCCATTGATTTTCTTAGTTCCAGACATATATGATGTTTACACTCCTCTCCCCTCTGATGTTATTGTTCAACTTTCTAAGGTGATGAAGTTACCAAAGACCGGTGTCGACGATCATTGGACATTAGCAAATAACATAAATGCTTTTTCAGGAATCCTGTAAGTAAATCTATTTCTAACTCAAGTTACGACAACACCCTTGTGTTTGTCTGTCGTGTGTTTATCATAACATTTACTAAGGGTATTAGTATCAATTTATACATATGTCCAAATATAAGTTAATTTTAATCAAGGGGCAAAATACTCTTTTTTCTTGAGTTGGCAAAAAACTTTAACCTGGAGAACACAAGTGCGGCCTATATGAAAACTGTCAAATGTCCTCTAGAATCTGAAATGTTATAAGTTGTCTTTGTAGTTGAATTATCTGTTATTTTTCATTTACATTTAAGTTCTTTTTCGGATTAAACAAAAGGAAAAACAACATAATTTCGTTGTATGAAAAAAATTCGGAGTACAAGGCTACGATTGGTAAAAAATTCTAAAATAATAGCTCATAACATCGGCCTAACTCATCTAATTTTGTATCATACACTAAAAGAACAAATAAAAGAATAAAAAAGCAGTTGCAATGAAAACATTGTTTTGTGTACCAATAAGTTGGCATAAAACTCAACAGTTCTTGAATATAGGAAGAGTCTACTCTTCAAAAATGAAATTGGAAACTATAATAAGTAACCGGTTCGTGTAGATGTGCAGTCCGTAATCAAATCCAACCGTTCGAGTATACCTGAAGGGCTAATTTTCTCATGGAGAGCATGCCAAAATCACCGATGAGAAATTCCTTTGGTGGCAAGTTAAAAAGCTTTTTGAATGTCGAATTCCTATGAGGTGACTTCATATTGAGCTGTCAAGAAGTTAGAATAATTCGTATAGATGTGCAGTCCATAATCAATACTCCTATAATGCAAAAGTTAAAAGATTTTACAAAAAAATGAAAATAAAACGCCCTAAAAAAGAAGTGTAAAATGGTCATTTACCAAACTTTAGATGGCTGCAAAAAAGAAACGCACATCATTTTAATAATCCAAATGTCAATTTACCTATAAGGAAATTAAAAATAAATAAATAAGCCAAACCTGATATCCTTTTTGACAACATATGCATCCGACTTGACTATATTGGATCTTGGAAAGCAAATGTATTGGTTAATGTAAGTGAATGATATGGAATTGAATTTCCAACATCCATTTTTGGGTAACATCCACTTTCATATCCCTTTTACACATACTTCGGCTCTCATCATGTGCGATTTTTGCTTCTGTTAAAAAATACAAAGTTATGCAACCATATAAATCAGATAAGAATTGCACTTTTAGAAAGCATGCATATTATGGAATAAGGTTAGAACACGTTTGGCCTTCAAATGTAAGAATCTTAAGAATGACCTAACTACAAAGATTCCCAAGTATAGTGTCCCACGGTTGGTTTTTTATTCCAGTGAAGGGGATTGTATCCCATTACCTCGATTATATATTATCTAAGAAAGTAAGAAATAAGGTCAAATGGAAATTGATGCCAAAACACCATTATTTCATTGGTTATACAGAAAAATATATAAATTTTATAAATTCTTGAAAGTGGATATATTCTGTTTTGATAATTAACCTTCTATACATAAAAATCTCAAATCTTCCCGATGATAAACTTTGATAGTACACGGTCATTACAATTTTTTTTGTTTCAATAGCTTAAGCATCTAATAACGACTTAAGGATATGAATATAAACTAAAGAACTACATACAATACATACCTAATAACCTCAAATGCTCCAGAGCTTCAAATATTCTTCTCACATTTCTTCTCTCAACTTTTACATATTGACGACATGTCTCCGATGGGTTGAAGCACTTCAAGACTTATGAAATTGTTCATAATCTGTAATGATAACATAATACTTTTTAATCTTAATCCAAATATAAATTCTATTTGAGTACCTAAAAAACTACATTATGGTGTCCCTGCTTTTACAGTATTAGAAAAATAAATAAAAAAATTCATGCCTTTTTTTGCAACTTTTTCATAAATTGCATGAAAAGATCTATCAATCTTTTTCTGGTCAAGGATTTAATCTTCCTCATCATACCAAAATCATAGTATATTAATGATTCATGATTCATGATTCATCCGAGCCAATTGCAAGGTTTCTAGGATGAGGATCAACATGAAAGAAACCAGTTGGTATCTACATAAAACAGCAAAAATATATTAAAAATTCAGTAAAAAATAAAAGCACTTTTTATTTTTTTTAATGAACGTGTTCATCTGAGTGTTGGGCGTCTTATTTTGGGAGTTTTTCGATACTCTTTTGTAGTCTAAAAGAAAAGTTCCATTTTATTTTAGAGGCAAAATTATAAAATTATTTGACCACTTCTATTTTTTATGATCATACAGATAAATGTTACCACTTTTTTATATTATTTTACCAACTATTCAATCAATCTGAACTCTGGAACTAATAACTCACCTAATATCTTTTGACGACAACTTCTCTGTCTATTCTGTCGTTTTCTACAACTAAAAGCAAATACAAAAAAAAGGGATATATTTAACTATCATATTACTTGTTCCATCACTAACAACAAAAAAAATCTAGCAATTAACATATTTGAAGATTGAATTGCTACCTGATGCAAATCGACTTCTTTTTTTATTCCCTTTTTTGTTTATCTTCATCTGCTAAAACCATAAAAAATGGTATTTGCAAGATGATGTTAGATGTTCTTGAGGTACCGAGTGAATGCAAGTTGACATCTAGAACACATATCATAATTGTGTTCAACAAAAACCCAAAATCAACATCAAGGTAGCCCCGAAGAAAAAAGTAAGCACACAAAAGCTATATACATATATATATATATATATATATATATATATATATAAAGAAAATGGTGAAAAAAATGAATGAAAAGAAGAAAACAGTAACAAAAATCGTATAAAATGCAAAGCAAGAGGTTAGAGTGGTGTAGAAAACAAACCTATGAATAAATCAAAAAGACGAACGTGTTAACTGTGTGTGTATGTCGTCTTTCTAGTTTCTGCAACAGATAAAAAGAGGGAGGCGGAGAAGGAGCGGTGACTCCCTTAATTCCTGAAAGCAAGTGTAGAAATTAGGTTTTTTTTCATCAAAATTGAGAAATAAACACCAGGAATCGAAACATAACAAATCAATTATAAGTCGTTGTGCGGAGAAACAAATAACTGACGGGAAGAAGGAGAGCCCTAAGGTAAAACGCAAGAAATATGAAGAAAGGGTAGGAGACGAAATAGATGAGCGCTTGCGGTTGTGATCATAAGATGAAAGGGATTCGAGGTTACATAAGGAGGAATCAAAGAGATAAGATTATGGATTGTCTGCGCATAGAGACATGGGAAGAGAAATTGTATCTGGATTCGAGGTCGTAGAAAGGAGAATCAATTGAATCGTTGTGAAAGAAGACGTACACATCATTGAAATTAGTGGGAGAATCTTTCTTATGTATCTTCCAGCACCATTGATCTTTATATTTTCTTCCCTGCAATAAATTGAAAAGAAAATAATGCATATGTTAGTGATTTTCAAACCAGAACAAAAGAAACGGGAAATGAGGGGTGGGGTTAACCAAATGATGATGTCATTAATAAATTTCCTAATTTTAAAAATAATTTTATTTTTGGTGAGATTTAATTGTCATTAATAGATTTCCTAATTTTAAAAATAAATTTATTTTTTGGTTAAATTTAATTGTCATTAATAGATTTCCTGATGTTAAAAGTAATTGTCATTAATAGATTTCATAAAATTGGCGGACCAAAGAAAAGGTTGACCAAATGATGATGTCAGCATAACGATCTAAAGGTGGAAAAGATATGAATGAAACACAATCAATGACCCTGATTGTTGAAAGTGATATCACAAAGTTTCTCTTTTAATAATATTTAAAGGTGACAATTTTCTGTGTTTTGAATCATCCCAATTTAAGATATTTCAAACTAAATTGATATCGTATCAAAAGAATTTTTCTAACAAAAAAAAAGATATTTTTGATTCCAAGATTCCAACATAAAAAACGGAATCTCAAGAAAATGTTTTGCTTTTTAGTAAAATTTAATAAAAATTTAAAGAACATACCAAATGAGAATTATATATCATGCAATGACTTAAAATATGATATTAAAACATTTTGAATCGACCATTTCGGATATGTATTGAGAGGGTTTTAAAAAGTG